TTTCGTATCATGCCATGAAATACAGCAACTGGACTCATATGTCAAGTATGCGATACAGGGTAGGTGATATAGACTGGCAAAAAGAATCTTTATTAGATATACAAAATTGCTGTATTTAGCATCAAATATATATGATAAATGTATTTATCAGGTTCATGTGAAAAAATATAAACAAGTCGGTTTTGTTTAGAACATTCTGAGTTTTTCTGACCTTAATAAGTTAGAACATTCTGACTTTTTTAGGTCAGAATATTGACTTCCAATTTTCTTCTAAATTCTGAAGAAACAAAGACTATCTGTCTTTCAAATAAGAGGTAAATGCTTCACGTGGCTAAGCATCTGTGGTCCGTTATTAATTTCAGATTAGAATTATAGATGTATAAATTTCAAAGGAAAACAAATATGTCATGTAATAAATAAGATGTGATGCATGTGTGAACTCAATATAAGCAGCCCAGGATATATATGGTTTAGGGGTGGGCATCTTGACCGTTTACAAGTTATAAGAACATTCTTAAATGGCAAGGGGTGGCGGTTACCCCTGGAGACTCCCCCAGTATCTCATTCAATTCAATTTGACATTACAAACAGGAATATATATGGTTTAGGGATAGGGATCTTGACCGTTAACAAGTTATACAAACATTCTCAAATGGAAAGGGTGTGGGGGTTACCCCTGGAGACTCCCAGAGTATCTCATTCAATTCAATTTGACATTAAAAACAGGAATATACATGGTTTAGGGGTGGGGATCTTGACCGTTTACAAATTATAAGAACATTATCTAATGGCAGGGGGTGGGGTTACCCCTGGCGACCAACCCAGTATCGCATTTAATTCAAATTTACATTACATACATGCATACATATGGTTTAGGGGTGGGTATCTTGACCGTTAACAAGATATACAGACATTATCAAATAGCAAGGGGTGGGGATTACCCCTGGAGACAAACCTAGTCCTAGTATCTCATTCAATTCAATTTGACATTACGAACAGGAATATATATGGTTTAGGAGTGGGGATTTTGACTGTTTACAAGATATACAAACATTCTCAAATGGCAAGGGGTGGGAGTAACCCCTGGAGACTCGCCCTATATTTCATTTTTTTTTTTTATCATGTCCCATGATTATAACTGGAGACCCTGTCAGGCTGTGTATGAATCACTTATTTTCTCAAGTTATAATCACTTAAAAAAAATTTAAAAAGACCATAGGGTTTTATAGTTAACACCTCATTTCCTTTTTTCTTTTTTATTCCCGTTTTCGTTTCAATATCATTAAAAGTTGTAGATCAATATTCCCAATGTCAATGATCGGTTTTCTCATAGTGACAGTGGCATAACGAGAAACGAAAAAAACGAAGATATAAATCACCTCAGAAAGGTTAAAAAATCAATTCATGATTTAGTTTAAAAATAGAAAAATTACATAATGATGGTCAGAACGTGTGCTCGAAGTAAATGGTTTACTTTTAAAATTGGAAAATAAGGTTAATCCTGTTTAAGAGTTATCTCCCGAAAATAACAATTCATTACAATAACAACATTTTCTTACGTGAATAAGTCAGAATTGTCAAACACCAGGTCATCTCAATGACCACGCGCCCGTATTTACAGGTCACGCGCCTTCATGAAACAGCAAAAAATTCAATGGCATGGAACTCCTTTACACGCAAAAAATATAAAAATGGCCATAAAAATACGGAGGCCATATGTATTAACCTTCTGAAAATGCCCACAATGACCGAGATTTTCACTAAAAAACGTAAATAATCAATAAATTAATCAGTGACTTTACTTTCGTGACACTTCCAAAACAACGACTTTCAATCATGTGAACTCTCGCAAAAAACCTTGTATGTGACGTAGATCGGCGGCAATTTCTAAATAATTTCTGGTTTGACGGATTCGATGGAAAACTACGAAAATAAAAACTGACGCGTACAGGTCAGAATTTCAGAACACTTTCTGACTGGAAGAAGTCATTTTATTCTGACTTGTTTATGTCAGAGCTCTGACTGTTTATTACAAGTGAACCATCATTACATGTATCAGGGATGGGGTAATTGAAAATGTAATGGTAATTAAGTGTAATGCATTACAATTTTCCATGTAATTGAATGTAATTTGTAATTGAGCATTTTTTTAATTGCATGTAATGGTAATTTAATTAATTACAATGAAAAAAGCGTGTAATTCTAAATTACTTTTGAATTACATTTCAATTACATGTACTTTTATGGTGTTAATGATAAGAAATTATGGTAATATAGTATTTAATTGACATACAGAAATGTTTGCTTAATAGTCTTATAACTTTAAAAAATGTGAGAATCATATATTAGTGTTGTTCAGTTTTTGAGAAAGATCTTGATCTAAATAGATTGATAACATGTATATATACATTCCATCAATACATGTATTTATGGTCAAACAAATGTGTAACTCTTTCTTAGACAGTTCATTTAGAATTTTAAATCACTGCACAAAATCATTTTATCAAATTAGTATACACAAAAGGATTATAGAAATAATAAACAGCTGCGCCATGAGCGCATGATACGCTATCGTCTTGTGTGTGAATTTTTATGCAATAAGCATAAATAGTTCCTGACATATGGCATGACATGCAAAAACCCCCTTTTTTTTTTACAAAAAACTCAATATCTCTAAAATAAAATTTTGAATCAAAACCAAAAAGTATACAGATCTTTAGATTAATATAACTAAGAAGTGTGTAAAATTTGAAGCAATAATCATAAATCGTTTTTGAGATACGGCGCGACATGTGAAAACCCCCACCTTTAAAAAAAAAAAAATCAATATCTCAAAAATAGAATTTTGAATCAAAACCAAAAAGTATACAGATCTTTAGATTAATATAACTAAGAAGTGTGTAAAATTTTAAGCAATAATCATAAATCGTTTTAGAGATACGGCGCGACATGTGAAAAACCCCTCCCCCTTTTTTTACAAAATACTCAATAACTCAAAAATAAAATTTTGAATCATCACCAAAAAGTATACAGATCTTAAGGTTAATATAACTAAGAAGTGTGTAAAGTTTTAAGCAATAATCATAAACTGTTTTTGAGATACGGCGCGACATGTGAAAAACCCCTCCCCCTTTTTTAACAAAATACTCAATATCTCTAAAATAAAATTTTGAATCATCACCAAAAAGTATACAGATCTCAAGATTAATATAACTAAGAAGTGTGTAAAGTTTTAAGCAATAATCATAAATTGTTTTTGAGATACGGCGCGACATGTGAAAAAAAACACACACCCGTTTTAGTTACTAAGTCCCGTAACTCAAAAAGTTTTAATCTTATTTTCACCAAAAAGTATACAGATCTTTTGACCATCATAAGAAACAACTATGTTAAGTTTCATGAAATTTGGATAAGTCATTCTCAAGTAACGGTGCGACATGTTGACGCCGGACAGACAGACGGACAGACAGACGGACGGACAGACAGACAGACGGATGGACGCCGGACATTTGTATAACATAATACGTCCCGTGGACCCCACACATATATTTTTATTTGGCCCAAGAGGAAAAAAATAATTCTGTAACTATAAATGAATATAGAAAACATAAACTGAAACAACTGTTATCATGGTTATAGTTTAATTGTATTCTCAGTTATGAATTGAACAATATAAACATATATAATATAAAGGAAATAGAGCATCGCCGCGACGTGTCAAATGACATTGAAAAAAATACAGTTTATTTTTTTTACGCCAAATGTGATGCTATCCAAAATTTCTGGGGAGAACACTGGATAATCATAAGCTTCATATGTTCATACATGATTGTTGACAGCACCAGACCGTAGTGTATGTTCACATAAAAATAGTTCCATCATCACATATGTTACTATTAAGTGATACCAATTTATTTATATGTTTTAGGTACTGATCGAAATTCCAAGTTACAGACGAGAAATCAACACCAAGTTGAAAATCATTCTAAAAAGAATTTTCTGCATGTATCCCGAAATTGGTAGTAACATATACAATCTAAAACAATTGTGATGTTTGACTTTCAATATTATGATCAAGAATCACAAACGAAAAAACCGTCAAACAGTCAAATCACAATTGTGCACATCCCCTAATGAGTTCCTTGTGGTCTTAAGTGTGCTTTGGTATTTGGCATCAGATGTATATTCTTTGTTTTCAAGAACTACATATTTTTACAGGACATTGAAACAGGTATGACAATTCCTTCTCGATTTGTGATAAATTGTTAAGACAATTCCTTCTTCAAGTATCACATAAACTTAACATTCTTAAAGATCCATGACAATGAGGTCAAGGTCAGATAAAAACTGTCACACAGACATGTACACTTTACAATTATTCAATACACCAAATAAAGTTGACCCATTGCTTATGGTAATCAAAAAACAGACCAAAACACAAAAACTTAATGTTAACCAATGAACCAAGGATATGAGGTCAAGGTCAGATGATACAACAAACAATTACGACAGCATAGGTTTCTGACACAGAATGAATGTGGTCTAAGAACTTAAAAAAAATAATTTACCTATTTAAACCATATCATTATTATTTGCTTTTATATATAAATCAGAAATAACCAATTTAAAATGGAAAATTTTAAAGAAAAAAAAAGGGAAAAAAATCCCCCCTTAAATTTTTTGAACCCCCTTATGATTCATCACCCCCAAACTAAATCACAGCCTTCCCTTTGTGTTACAATGTTGGTAGCCTTGCAGTACAATTTCAGAGAGATCCGTACACTTGAACACAAGTTATTGTCTGGAAACCAGAAAAATGCTTGTTTTTTTGCCCCTTTTTTGCCCCAAATTCCTAAACGTTTAGGGCAATTACCCCCAAACTCAAACCCAGCTTTCCCTTTGTGATATGGAATCTTGTTGTACAATTTCATAAAGATCCATACACTAAAACATAAGTTATTGTCTGGAAACTAGAAAAATGCTTGTTTTTTTTGCCCCTATTTGGCCCCAAATTCCTAAACGTTTAGGGCGATTACCCCCAAACTCAAACCCAGCTTTCCCTTTGTGATATGGAATCTTGTTGTACAATTTCAGAAAGATCCATACACTAACACACAAGTTATTGTCCTGAAACTAGAAAAATGCTTGTTTTTTTTCCCTTTTTGGCCCCTAATTCCTACACTTTTGGGGCAATTACCCCCAAAATCAATCCCAGCCTTCCCTTTGTGGTATGGTACCTTGCAGTACAATTTCAGAGAGATCCATACAATCGAACACAAGTTATTGTCTGGAAACTCGAAAAATGCTTATTTTTGGCCCCTTTTTGGGCCCCTTTTCCTAAATGTTTTGGGCAATTACCCCCAAACTCAATTCCAGCTTTCCCTTTGAGATATGGAACCTTGTAGTACAATTTCAGAAAGATCCATACACTTACACACAAGTTATTGTCATGAAACTAGAAAAATGCTTGTTTTTTGCCCCTTTTTTGGCCCCTAATTCCTAAAATTTTGATGCAGTTACCCCCAAAATCAATCCCAGCATTCCCTTTGTGATATGGAACCTTGTGGTACAATGTCAGAGAGATCCATACACTAACACACAAGTTATGTCTGGAAGTTATAAAAATACTTATTTTTGGCCCCTTTTTGGCCCCTAATTCCTTAACTGTTGGTACCATAACCCCCAAAATCAATCCCAACCTTCCTTTTGTGGTATTGAACCTTGTGGTAAAATTTCATAGAGATCCATTCACTCAAACTAAAGTTAGAGTGCGAAAACCAATGTGTCTTCAAACGACGACGACGACGACGACGATAACGTCATACCAATATACGACCACAAAAATTTTTTTGCGGTCGTATAAAAACTTAACATTGACCAATAACCAATAAAAATAAGGTCAAATTCAGATGATACCTTCCAGACAGATATGTACACCTTACAATCATTCCATACACCAAATATAGTTGACCTATAATTGCTTATAGTACTTGAAAAACAAACAAAAACTCAACATTGACCAATGAACCATGAACATGAGGTCAAGGTCAGATGACACCTGCCAGACAGACATGTTCACCTTACAATCTTTCCATACACCAAATATAGTAGACCTATTGCTTCTAGTACTGGAAAAACAGACAAAAAACAAATAAAATGCTCCGCAGGGCGCAGCTTGATACGACCGCAGAGGTCGAACCCTGAACAGTTGGGGCAAGTATGGACACACCATTCAAGCTTGATACAGCTCTGAATTTGGATTGTGATTAAATATTTGACACAGCATAGGTTTCTGACACAGAATGAATGAGGTCTAAGAACTTAAAAATTTTAAATTGGACAATCACCTATTATGGTCCAATATCCAAAATCTAAATACATGGTTAGATTCAGCATATCAAAGAACCCCAAGAATTCAATTTTTGATGAAATCAAACAAAAGTTTAATTTTGGACCCTTTTGACCTCAATGTGGACAAAGTTGATAACGGGGCCCAAAAATCAAAAAAAATCCCCCCCAAAAAATTTTTTGAACCCCCTTCTGATTCATCACCCCCAAACTCAATCCCAGCCTTCCCTTGTTGTATGGTACCTTGCAGTACAATTTCAGAGAGATCCATACACTTGAACACGTTATTGTCTGGAAACTAGAAAAATGTGTTTTTTGGCCCCTTTTTGGCCCCAAATTCCTAAACGTTTATGGCAATTACCCCCAAACTCAAACCTAGCTTTTCCTTTGTGATATGGAACCTTGTAGTACAATTTCAGAAAGATCCATACACTTACACACAAGTTATTGACCTGAAACTAGAAAAATGCTTGTTTTTTGCCCCTTTTTGGCCCCTAATTCCTAAAATATTGAGGCAATTACCCCCATCATCAATCCCAGCCTTCCCTTTGTGGTATGGAACCTTGCAGTACAATTTCAGAGAGATCCATACACTAGAACACAAGTTATTGTCTGGAAACTAGAAAAATGCTTATTTTTGGCCCCTTTTTGGCCCCCAATTCCTAAACGTTTCGGGCAATTACCCCCAAACTCAATTCCAGCTTTCCCTTTGTGATATGGAACCTTGTAGTACAATTTCAGAAATATCCAAACACTTACACACAAGTTATTTGTCATGAAACTAGAAAAATGCTTGTTTTTTGCCCCTTTTTTGGCCCCTAATTCCTAAAATTTTGAGGCAATTACCCCTAAAATCAATTCCAGCCTTCCCTTTGTGATATGGAACCTTGTGGTACAATGTCAGAGAGATCCATACACTTACACACAAGTTATTGTCTGGAAGTTACAAAAATGCTTATTTTTGGCCCCTAATTCCTTAACTGTTGGTACCATAACCCCCAAAATCAATCCCAACCTTCCTTTTGTGGTATTGAACCTTATGGTAAAATTTCATAGAGATCCATTCACTTAAACTAAAGTTATAGTGCGAAAACTAATGTGTCTTCGGACGACGACGACGACGACGCCAACGTCATACCAATATACGACCGCAAAATTTTTGCGGTCGTATAAAAAACTATACATTGACCAATGAACCATGAAAATGAGATCAAGGTCGGATGAAACCTGCCAGACTGACATGTACCCATTACAATCATTCCATACACAACATATAGTTGACCTACTGCTTATAGTATTTGAGAAACGGACCTAATCACGTAACTTCAACCTGGATCACTGATCCATTAAATGAGGTTGAGGTCAGGTGAACTCTGTCTGATGGACATGTAGACATTGCAAGGAACCTATATACCAAATATACTTATCCTATTACTCATAATAAGTGAGAAATTTACATGACAAAAAAACTCAAATTGTTTTTCAAGCAATTGCTAAACCATGAAAATGAGGTCAAGGACAATGGACATATGATTGAAGGAAACTTTGTAACATCTGCATACAAGATATGAAGCACCCAGGTCTTCTACCTTCTGAAATATAAAGCTTTATACAAATAGTTTAAGCCGCCGCCAGATAGTACTACCTATGTCTCGCATACTGCGACGAAATACTGTGACTTTCGTCACAGGCGAGACAAAAATCATACCTTAATTTGCAAGTTCTATTGATCATGTTGATTCTGTATCATCACCACAAGTAGCTGTTCTGTACATTTGACTCCTTGTAGAAATCACAGAAGGGTGGGGAGTTCTACATGGCTTACATCATGTACATATTCCTGCAAAAGGTTTAGAATAATAACCAAATTTTACGAGGTCAACAAACAAAAGCGAAAATTGTCAAAATCGGAAGTAAAAATACAGTAAAATAAAAATCAGGATTCTACAAAGTGGATCTGTGCTTTAAAGGGAGAGAAAATCAGGTCTGATAAAGATAAGAAATTACAAGTCAGTGTCAATATTTATATGCACATAAATTACATGTACCAGGTAATTTGAATATAGAATAATAACAGACAAAAAGAATTCATTAATCTGCACCTTGTGCATTTTTTCTTTGATAAAACTAGTCCTCCCTGATATTTTTTTCTGATGAATGAATAATTTACATATTTTACTTGCATATAGGTACATGTTTTAACATGATTAAACATTCTATTATGTATGAGTGTACATGTATATATAACATTTGAATTTCTTAGGACTTCTTTGCTCTAATCAAATTTTTAATTGTCTGTACATGTCCTTTGCAGATGTCTTTACTAATCATTTAAGTGTAATTTCATGGACAATGAAAATCTCATTTGTCTGTTATCTTCAGAACACTGCTCATTTACAAGCCCCCAAGGGGCAATTTTTGAAGGCCTTGCGCAAATAGTTAAGATCTTTGCGCAATGCAAATACTTAAGATCTTTGCGCAATTAGTTTCTTTGTTGAATTAATGAGATGAAACATTGAACTCTAATAAAAAATTATGAGCTAACCTGAGTAAAATTGTTAAAAGCATGTTTTTACATCTCGAAACTTGAGAATTTTTCAATATTGTAAAAAAAAATTACTTATACAAGTTAATTTCTGAGAAAATTAAGGGGAGATTATTCAAACATTATAATTTACTTATATAAGTATATTATTATTTACTTCTTCAAGTAAATAAAGATTACTAGTACAAGTAGTACCCCTGACTGTATATAATGTACATTAGACCTTGCTACAAATGTATATATGTCATGTATGTACTAGTAGAGTAGCTCAAGATTTAAGATTTTCCATTATGTATAGATCTATAAATAATTTTATGTTTGTTTTTTTTTGTTGTGCTGTTACTCCACTGTCCCAGGTTAGAGGGAGGGTTTGGATTACATTTAACATCACTGCATATGTACTATATGTACAAATGTACTTGTCCTAAGTAAGGAGCCTGTAATTTTAGTGGTTGTACAATGTAGCTTGTTGCTGTGCGCCATATTAGTTTTTCGTTTATTGATTTTTATATTAATCTGGCTATTGGTTGGTCCCGTCTGAATTGTTTTACACTAGTCATTTTGGGGCCATTTTAATTTATGGTTTACTTTGCGGTGTGAAAATCAAGGCTCCACGTTGAAGGCTGTATTAATTTACAAATTTAATTGGTCTTACTGTAATTGGATTGTTGAACTGTTTGAGCATGATACGTGTTGCATGTACATTTTTTGTAAAATGAACTGATACATGTACAAACATGAATCATTGTACATGTACAATGTATGTTCAAGTGAAGCACAGGGACAAAATACAGTGATTCAGCTAGACCATCAGATCTTCGGGACATTCTTAAATGACGTACTTTTGTATAGAACTAAATTTTGTAAATATCTTCAGGACAAATAATCAGTCAATATTCTTAAACTCAGATGCCTTGCTGAATCACTGAAACTATTTTAACAAGTTGTTGTTTTTTGTATGAAAGAGCATGGAGTTTTTGGTATGCATTGTACGGTTAAAAGAAGAGGCTGAACATATTGCATGTAAATAACCCTTTACCACCACTGTTAACCCTCTTGCTGCCACATGGATATATGTGTCCAGTACCGGAAGCCTGCCAAACAGACATATGTGTCCATCACCAGTAGCCTGCCAAGCGGACACATATGTCCTGTTCATTGACAAAATCACTGCTTCAATTTTAATGATTACAAAGCCGTCTCTGAAATAAACTTCCTCATAAATGATATAAAATAAAATTTGAATATATAATGTAGCCATTTTCTTGATTCGTATACTTTTTAAACAACGTCAAAACGCAAGACTTGTAATTCTAAAGACGTCATACCAGTCTGTGCCAAACGCCATCGGTCCAACGGTCCTGACCGATGAAAACGAAGCAGGTCCCCAAAATCTTATGTCAGTTCCGATCCGTATGTCAGGTATTTTCACCCTCTCGGTTAGTACGACTGGGCTAGTCAAAATTTTGTTTAAAACCAGGAATTTCATAAAAATTTTACTGGTCAACAAATCCCAGTTCCACTTAAAACCCAGTTGTTTCGGACAATATCGTATACACCCATCTTCCATGAACATGCAAATCTTCGGGTTTACCCATTCCCATTTATTTACATTGTCTCACATGGTTGAACAAGGCAAACATCATATGACAAAGTTTCTTCAAGTTAAAAATTTTTAAAAATGTGGATAATGTCCAAGTGTGGACACAGATGATGCCCCCACTTACATATCATATAGTTATGAAGGGACATAACTGAAGAACGGTAAAAGTGACGCTCCCAAATTTGAACTTGATCTGAGTTTTGTGGTAATAAGCATTGTGTGTAAGTCTCATAACATTTGGTTGAGGCTAACTTAAGTAGAGAACAGAGACTAATAAAATGCTCTGCTGGGCACAGCTTGATACGACCGCAGAGGTCGAACCCTGTACAGTTGGGGCAAGTATGGACACAACATTCAAGCTTGATACAGCACTGAATTTGGATTGTGATTAAATATTTGACACAGCATAGGATTCTGACACAGAATGAATGTGGTCTTAGAACTTTTTTTTTAATTTACCTATTCAAACCATATCACTATTATTTGATTTTATATATAAATCAGAAATAACCAATTTAAAATGGAAAATTTTAAAGAAAAAAAAAGGGGAAAAAAATTCCCCCATCAAATTTTTTGAACCCCCTTATGATTCATCACCCCCAAACTCAATCCCAGCCTTCCCTTTGTGGTATGGTACCTTGCAGTAAATTTCAGAGAGATCCATACACTTGAACACAAGTTACTGTCTGGAAACTAGAAAAATGCTTATTTTTGGCCCCTTTTTCATGTTTTTGGCCCCTTATTCCTAAACGTTTTGGTTAATTACCCCCAAACTCAATTCCAGTTTTCCCTTTGTGATATGGAACCTTGTAGTACAATTTCAGAAAGATCCATACACTTACACACAAGTTATTGTCATGAAACTAGAAAAATGCTTGTTTTTTGCCGCCCAATTCCTAAAATTTGGAGGCAATTACCCCCAAAATCAATCCCAGCATTACCTTTGTGATATGGAACCTTGTGGTACAATGTCAGAGAGATCTATACACTAACACACAAGTTATGTCTGGAAGTTACAAAAAATGCTTATTTTTGGCCCCTTATTCCTAAATGTTTTAGGTGATTACCCCCAAACTCAATTCCAGCTTTCCCTTTGTGATATGGAACCTTGTAGTACAATTTCATAAAGATCCATACACTTACACACAAGTTATTGTCATGAAACTAGAAAAATGCTTGTTTTTTGCCCCTAATTCCTAAAATTTGGAGGCAATTACCCCCAAAATCAATTCCAGCATTGCCTTTGTGATATGGAACCTTGTGGTACAATGTCAGAGAGATCTATACACTAACACACAAGTTATGTCTGGAAGTTACAAAAATGCTTATTTTTGGCCCCTAATTCCTTAACTCTTGGTACCATAACCCCCAAAATCAATCCCAACCTTCCTTTTGTGGTATTGAACCTTATGGTAAAATTTCATAGAGATCCATTCACTTAAACTAAAGTTAGAGTGCGAAAACCAATGTGTCTTCAGACGACGACGACGACGCCAACGTCATACCAATATACGATCGCAAAATTTTTTTGCGGTCGTATAAAAGCTCATTGAAATTTCTAAGCCAACAGTACTTGTTTGTTTTTCTCTAAATTAATATTTTTTTTCAAATTTATTTTCAAAAGTTGACTTGTTACTCATGAAAATAAGATTTCCGTAAAGTCATTATTCCCAGGAAATTGCGAGAATGCAGGATTTTGCACCATTTACCCTTAAGCTTCTGGGGGCCTTAAGCAGACCCCAAACCCTCTGCCGTATGACTTCCTTCTCCAGCATTGAGTACACATCATGTTGGCTAAGCTACGCCCCTGAGTCTGAACAGACTTGCTTGAAATGGTGTTGTAATTCTACAAGATTCACTGTGGTCATGTCTCTGTCAGAAGTATGTTCAAGGGGCTATGTGTAAAGTGTGCCTATCCAGTCTACACAACAAAGTGTAAAGGAGATAGAGCCATTGATTTTAAGACATCGAAAGGAAATATATTTCTGCATCAATCCTTGATACCTGTTGGAAGTGGTAAGT